ATAGATAGATAGATAGATAGATAGATAGATAGATAGATAGATAGATAGATAGATAGATAGATGACAGACAGACAGACAGAAGACAGACAGATGGGCCTAGGGATGGAGCACCAAGAGGTCAAGCACTTTCAGATCACAGCAAAAGTCTGATTCTTTCTGTACACTGAAGATCTGCACCCATGAAGACAGTATAAAACCCAGAACCTGGAACAGTGATTTCTGGGAAGGACGCAGTCAACCAAGCATCCCATAATGTTCCTTCCTTTTCTGTCAAGGAATTCTCTACCTCCCCACCAGAATTACCACCACCACCACCACCAACAACCAACCTACCAAAAATACAAAAATGTCTGCAATAATGACATACTTTAAAATAATATTTAGAGCTGAAAAAACAGCTCAACAGATAAAGAAAGTCCTTGCCGTATAGATATGAGCACCTGATTTTAAATCCCCAAACCCATATAAAAGCGAGGCATGGTGGTAAATACCCTATAATCCAGAACAAGCAGATAGAGACAGGAGAAACCTGGGGTTCCCTGGCCAGCCAGACTAGCCAAAATAATGAGCCTCAGTTTCCTTGAGAGACTCTGTCTCAAAATAACAACAACAACAACAATAATAATAATACGGAGAAGCAATTATGGAAGTTACCCTCTGCCTCCTAACTAGTCTGTCTGCACAGATGAGCCCACATGCATGACCCACATGCAACCACAAAGAAAAAAGAAAATGATTAATAAGATGGAGAATTAATTAAGGTAATATCAAAGAAGAAAAGGCATAAGACATATACACAATATCTAAGTTCATTAAAAGCATGTGTAAAGTATGCTGAGTATGTAAAATTAGATAAAGTCATTCCCCTGCCTTCATTCTCAAAGCAGTCAGGGCTCTACCCTTCTGAGAACCAGGTGGGTGAGGTTAGGAAGCGGCAGCTTGTCAGTCATTTGGGAACTTCTCTCTACTTAGTACGGACTTCTAAGGGTGTGCCATCAGACTCTCCATAACTACATCGAAACCCCCAACATCAACAACTTAAGAGGAAAGACTTCCATAGCTCATGGTTTCATAGTCTTCAGTCCAGGGTCTTTGGTCCTGTTGGTGCTGAGCCTGTGGTGAGACCCACCAGTGTGGTGGTGCAGTAGGCTGCAACCAAGGCAAACAGAGAGCAGAGCCGGAAGGACGGAGTAGGGACCAGGTTAGCATGTCTCCTTATCTCTTTCCAGAAGCTGCTTTTCCCCATTAGATCCCTCCTCCTAAAGTGTGTGGGACCTCCCAAAACACAACAGAGCCAGCAGTCACCAGATGAGCCTCTGGAAGCCCCTCACTTTCAAGCCACAGCCCTCTGATGATAGTTCAGGTTCCTTGTATTGCTCTTTTTCTGATACTACAGTTCCACACACTCCAAAGGCTGTTTTCTCTTCCACAATGATATAACCTCCACACGTATTACAGTTTAATATTTATCACCATATAGATCACATAGTCGAGGATCTCACATTTTTTGCAAATCTATACAGAAAATAAGTAGACACTAAATAATAATAGCCTTTAGTATGAATTTGTTAATTGGAATATTTCCCATCGTTTTGTATTTTTGAAAATGGAATTGCCAGCAGTTACTTAGCATTTTGGCATGTGGAGCATGAGGATGCACTCCAACTTATTTAATACTTAATTTAATCTTGCTCTTCACCATTTAGATAATTTGCCATTTTCCTCTGTTTTGTGCAATGCTGCAGTGAACATGTTGGTATCCAGGTCTCTTGCCAGCTGGACCTTGCAGGATTCTACGGACATGGACCAAAAAGGGTCCTGCTTCCCCTTCTGACAGAGGGGAGACATTTCTAGAAACAGCTACAGTATCAGTCATAATGTAAGGGTTCAGAGGTGCTGACAGATGCATTTCAACCCAGGAAGGGAGCAGGCTTCCTGGAGGAGGAGGCATGTCAGGATCTGCCAGTATCAAGCAGAACTGGGGAGAGGAAGTTTATCTGCATGGCAACCACAGAAAGCTACATGGGAGTGAGCTACTCCCATGGCTCCTGACAGCTATGAAAACAGGGCTTTGCATAGAGTCAGAGAGTCTGGGTTCCCAGTCTCTGACTGACTGGCTTAGGAACAAGGCAGCTCCCCCATTGGGAGGGCAAGAACTTCAAATCCCTGCCCTCTCCCTCATCCCCCACCCCAGGAGAAGGGCAGAGGGGCTGTTTCCCCAAGCAAGGCACACACCCACAGGCTCCCAACCCTTCAGGCTTTCAATGGCTGCTGCCAAATTCTGCTGCTCCTGGAGTCAAAGGAATGTTGAGCAATCTTTGGAATTTTTTTCTGCAGAGAAACAAGTACTTTTGAATTCCAAATTCCATTCAGGCCTCCTGAGCCGGCACATTGTCTGCAGGAGTCTGCAAAGTCGCAGTCTTCCTTAGCGAGTACTGGGGGACTTTTCCCTGTTTATATTCTTCTCCCGCTGGCAAGGCTGTAAGACACCATTGCGATGAGGTCATGGGGCCCTGCCCCTCTGCATCTACGGGTGGCTGAGCTGCCAGAACCTTGCTGTCCGGTCCCAGTGGCTCAGTGTATTCAAGGATATGCTGGGGATGGGCGGGGGGGGGGGGGGCTGAAGAGCGGTCCTCAAATTGCTGGAGCCCCAACCTAGACTGCACTCTCAGGACATCCCCTCCCCATACCTGACCCTTACTTGTGGCCCTGAGTGGCCTAAGGGCTCCAGGTCACACTGTCCAGTTTCCTGGGTACTGCATGTGGGGATTCATTCGACTTGGCATCTGGGAAGTTTTAGAATTAATCAATGACTTGCAAGTAGTTCTCAGTTCAAATGCACCTCCTCAGTGAAGCCCTTTCTGATGCCCCATCCACTAACATGCATGCCCTTGTCCTCCCTCTAAGCATTTCTTTGTTATTAACTGTCTGTGAACTTGCCTAATTGCTTTCCTCTTCGAGTCTTAGATTCAGACAGTGTTGGCTTCCGTAGTTCCTACTCACTTACAGCCAGGTAAGCGGACGATCAATGGAGAGATGGCTCAGTAGTTAAGAGCCCTTGCTGCTCTTCCAAAGGACCCCAAATCATTCTAAGTATCTATGTCAGGTGGTTCACAAATGCCTGTAACCCCAGTTCCAGAGGATCTGACGCTTTCCTCTAGAGTGCTCATGCACATGCGTGTGCACACACACAGCAAACACACAGATATAGACACACAAGTGAACACGAATCTTAAAAAATATCATAGTGCTGTCTGGTATATAAAGTGCAGGCTTCTGATCCACTCTGGTCATACTGCAAGTCTCTAGCAAAAGTGACCTAACTCAAGGAAAGTGAGCTTTGCACTCACTGGTCCAGTTAACTGCCCCTTTGTTATGCTGGCTCTGGATAAGTCCCCCAACTGTACAGCCTTCCATTTATCCGAGCTTTGAGCAACCCCTGAACGTTTCCAAGCCCACTACCCCCATTCTTCTGTCCATACCTCAAGGCTGAAAGAAGTGTTTCCACAGAAGAAACTCCCGTCCCAAAGGCGTGGGCCCTGGGTGCATGGTTTCAAGTACCAGGGCAGGAGGAGAAGGTGGGAGATGGATGCCAGGTGGAAGGTGGAGTCTTGGGGAAAGGGCGGCAGCAGGGCAGAATAGAGAGCCTGGCCAGGACTCTGATACAAGGACACAACCTCTTTAGAAGGCACTGGAAATAAGGCAGAGTGTACATGCTCTGAGGACTGGATCAGAAACCTGCACTTCATAAACCAGTTGATTTTATGCTTGTATTGTCTAGGCTGCTTTTCCTTTTTTTTCCCCCTTCAGGGAAGTGGCAGAGGAGGAGGGGAGTCGGAATAGTGCAATTGGCCTCAACCGTGCAAAGGGGACCTAGGAAATGGGTTTGTAACTAAGTGTGTATCTGACCTCCAGGTGGGAAGACCTTAAAGAGGAAGACGCTGAGGAACAGAAGAGCCATTGTTCATTGCCTCCAAACCCTGCCAAGTACCTGTTGAGATCACAACTTTCTGTAGAAAACCTGGGGCTTTTGCCATTGGGAGAAGTAGGTTGCCTAAGCCACTTCCCAGACTTCTTGTGAGATTGCTACATTCACACAGGGATCTAGGAGATGCATCAGACAACAATACAGAGATTAAATCAGGAAGTCCCGAATGTGCTAAGTACTATGAGAAAATCAGGGAATGGGGGTTTCTCGGTTGAGGTAGACAGTAGGAGTGACTGCAGTGGCAAAGGCCCAATGTGTAGGGAAGAGGAAACTGAATCAAATTGGCATTGGGGAACATGTACCCCATACCAAGGAGACTGTCTTAAGTGTTGAGGAAGAAAAAATGGGAGCAAAGTGTTTGGTTCAAAGTGTCACCCCAGCCCCTGGCATCCATATGCCCAAAGAGTCTGAATGTTCTGGTGGAAGTTCCATCCCAAGTCCCCTGCCCTGGGAGTTCAGACCCCACCCCGAGAAAGGCCACCAAATGATGACCCCTCCCCAGAGATGCTGCAGACCACTCCCACAGGGTATTTAAATTATACCCCAGAAAACAAACATGTGGTTTTTCTGGTCTTCCATCCCCATCTCCTCTTTTGGGGGGGGGGGGCTGGAAGGCCACCCATGAACGTTGGTATCCATTAAACCTGGGCTTTTTCTAATTCAGTTTGATTTAGTCTGATTCGGATTATTGTGTTGGCAGAGAGGCTTATTGGGATGCGGAAACTTTTCACAAAGGTGGGATGGCAGGGTTGGGAGGCATCCTGGAGATGAGCAGTGGGCATGTGGGCTGTCGTCCCAAATGCTGAATAGACTTTCCAGAAGGAAGTCGGGAACCCCAGAGGATTGTATCCCCCTGGCTTCTATATTGAGAAAGGACGGACAGACAATGGGAAATTCAGAAAGCTTCTATGATAGCTTGGGTGAGGGATCACAGGTTAGGTCTGCCTGGGAGGAGGAACAGCAAGCACTGAGGGGGGGGGTCCTGGATAGAGAAAAATAAGCAGGATTTGTTGTTGATTTTTAAGACACAGTTCCTCTGTGTAACCCTGGCTGTCCTGGAACTAGCTCTGTAGAGAGCAGGGTGGCTTTGAACTCAGAGATCTGCTGCCTCTGCCAGTGTTGGAATTAAAGGCATGCGCCACCACACCTAGAAGGCAAGATTTGCTGATGGCTTTGATGTGGGATGTGAGACAAAGAGGACTCCATGGCTTTGGGTTTTACTGCTAGAAGGATGGAGATGACTTAGATCATGAGTGTCATTAGTTACTGACCACCAACCTTAGGGCGATTCCCTGGCCAGCACCTCTGCCCGCTTATCTCATCCAATCCTCATAACCCCAAGAGACAGGAGCTGGACCCCTCGATCCAGGGAGGACACTGATCTGAACTATGGCCGCTAACATATGAGTGTGGCGCTCAGATGCCCTGGGTGGGTTTGACCCACGAAGCAGATGTACACGTCTGACTTCAAGGGTCCAGACGCTGGTTCCTTTGTCTCACATGACTGTGCCTGGATCCCGCCCCGACACTGCACACGGGGCCCTCCCCTGCAATCAATCTCTCTCAAGCTGCGAAGTTTTCCCAAGGCCCCACGTCTCCCTGTGTGTACTGGGACTTCTCTCAGCTTATTCTTGGGCTTTTTGAAAAGGAATAGCGGAGTAATCAGGACCAAAATATTTGGAGATTGCCTCAAAGGCCTTGGGCAGATGGATGAGTCATGACTCAAGGATGACAGGTGGGAGAGAATGCAGGGAGGCCCAGCAGCTGTCCAGTTTTTACTGGTCTTTGTGTGAGCACAGCCGGCTCTGAGACAGGTTTCTCCAAAGGCAGCAAGCTGGAGCTGCCGCTGCCCAGCCCTCAGGACTGCTTTCCCTTTGACGTCACCAAGTCCTACTTGCAGGCAAGGCGCGCAACTTGGAAACTGATCTAATTAAGGTAGGAGTACAATGCTTGTTGTGGCGTGTGTGTGTTTGTGTGTGTGTGTGTGTGTGTGTAAGGCATATGGGAAAATGGAAAACGTAGACAGCCATTCTGTGACTTCAGAAACTGAGTACTGTCACTCCAACCCAAAGATGTCCTGCACATCCTTTGAAGAATGGAAAAGAAGACCGTGACCTGTGGAAGCAGTTCTCTGTCCAGCCAGAGCCTGTCCCTGAGCTCCATGTTTAGCACCAGGCTGCTAAGAACTGATATAGCAATGAGCCCAGATTAGTGGACTGTGCCTAGCCAAATGTGCGGCAGAGTTGGGGATATAGTCCTGCTCCCTGCCTAAGTCCAGGGCTTTAAACATTTATGAGCACTACCCTGTGCTAGGTGCTCTCAACCACTACCTGCTTTGACTTACATAACTGTCAGGTCCAGACAAAGCTGAGGTTCAGAGAGGTGGGGCCTGTCTGGACTTCCCAATGCTAACAGGCCCCAGATTTGCAATGCAGGTAGAGTTATGGAGCCTGCCAGAGCAGGTGTCTGGGGGTTTGACAGGCACATACTCTCCCTGCCTGGCATACTGCTAAGTATCCCCAAGGCTGCAGTGCACCCCCTCTATACTCCCTCTTAAGTCATGTTGCCTTCTCTACCTGTCTGAGTGCTGTGTTTGCTCAGACTGCAAGGATGGAGAGCCAGTGCAGAGATCAGGAGACGTGGGCACATATTGAGTCCCGTGGAGGCCAGAGATGGAGCTGTGACAGGGAGGGGCTGTGGTACAGACAGCCTCTGTTGGTCTGGAAGACACAGGAACAGTGTCCCACGAAAACACTGCTGTTTGCAAACCAACACCACAAGCTGGGGAAACAGCACATCTTTGTCTGTCCTGGCCGCTGCTCATGTGGCTTCTTTGCCTCCACCCCATCCCCCTATCCTAGCTAGGGTCCTTTTCTTCTTTGTCATTGTAGCCTTGGAACCGAATAAAAAGGGTGGCTGGGAGAGTTGAAGCCCCAGCTTATGGCACTGGTATCCAGTCCATGGCTTCTCAGGTCTGACTCTCCAAGCCAAAGGTCATGGGAAGAAGATATGCTTCAGATGACAGGGACCCTCCTCAGTCTACTGGCCTGGGCCTCTGCTGCTAGGCCAGCAAATACTCAGAGCTCTCCAGCAACAAAGTCACACCTCCGTGTCATGTCTGCTCAGAATTCCAGGTTCTCAGAAAACCTCTCTAATAGAGAACCTAAATCCAGAAAGATTAGATTACTTGACCAAAGTCACACAGCTGGTGACTAGCTAAACTAGTTTCCCGCGTTCTCGGAAAAGACGTCTTTCTAGTCTGTCTCTCAGTTTCTGTCTCAGTTTCTCTCTGTCTGTCTGTCTGTCTGTCTGTCTCTCTCTCTCTCTCTCTGTGTGTGTGTGTGTGTGTGTGTGTGTGTGTGTGTGTGTGTGTGTGAAGGAGAGAGAGACCAGGGGCTGAGGCTGAAGCTAGAACTTATGCATACTAGGTAAGCACTCTGCCACCAAGCCGCATGCGCAGCCCTTTTCTTCCGTACATGGGTCCCTCCCAGACCCCAGCCCACCCAGGCAAAGCCAGACAGGGCTGGGCTGAGCTTTCTCCACACATGTGGTGCTTATCACGCAAGCACTGCCTTGCAGGGTTTCGCAATAAGCCTTGTGTTTTGGTCACCCCAGTGGGCTTGGAGCTACAAGGGAGCAGGGGGCCTCTCATGCTTTTCTCAAATTGCTGCCCAGGTCACCTCACCCATGCCCAAAGTTGAGGTTCACCAAGTTCCTGCTCAGTGCAGGAGGAAATGCATGAAGGACCTGAGGATCACCCAGATGTTTTGTCTCTGAAGATGGAAAGGCAAGGAGATGTTTGTAGGACCCGGCTCCAGGAACAGGACTTATAAAACAGGGAGGTGGCCAAATCATTCACACTGGTCTTGGAACAGGCCCTGTTCATAGGGCCTACTGAAACACACAGAACTGAAGGCCAACCATGCTCCCCAGGGGCTCCGGAGCATGGCCCAGCCTAGAGCTGGCAGTGGAAGGGCCAGGCCAAAGAGGTAATGGGTGCCCCTGATTGGTTGCTGCCTTTCAGAAAGGCGACTTGGGCTTTCCTGGGATGCCCTTCTAGAATTAATTTACCCCTCCTCCTCTCCATTCAGCCACTTAATCAGCCCAGTCTCCCCATTGTATCCAGCTTGCCATAAACCCAGTGAGGTTTGAGGAGCCTGGTGTGGAGCAAGGGAGGCAGATCCTGAAAACAAAAGTCAGGGTCTGCCTTCAAAATGCCTCTAAAAAGGAGAGGGAAAAGAAGCACATACAGAGCAGACCATAGCTGAGGATGACTGCACGGCAAGCGGCCGCTGATCCAACACAATGGCAGGGGAGGGGGACAGTCATTCACTGGGCTAAGCATCAGACTTTGAGTTTTTATTTCCTGTCTTTCCTGCAACCATCCCCCACCCCACATGGAGTCCAGTGGAGACAGGGATCACAGCCAGCAGCAGCGACCAGGGAATAACCGCCTAGTAAATCAGGAGTCTGAAGCTTCTGCAGCATCGCAAGGACAGCCCTGGATTTATAGCTCTATAGGACACACCACTTTCAGGGAATCCACTCTGCTCTGGGGGCACTCACACTGCTGACATCAGCTCCAGGACACCAACGATATCAGGCTGTAAGTGACTTGACAGGCTAATCATTCTCAGTGGCTGCTAGCACTCACGGTTTCGGGCAAGATGACACACGAGCAGGAAAACACAGTGTGAGCTGGCTATGTGAGACAGTGTCATGCTAGAGGCACAGAAGGGATTGGGGCTGCTGCCCACTGACATTTTCCAAAGCAGATTCCTTGGTTCTCACTTCTGAACCTTCACATTTTCCTAACAGCTGGAACTTCCCCACCTCCTCTCACCAGAAGCCCCACCCTTATTTTGAAACCAGATTCTAAAGAACCAGTTGCAGGTTTGACTAAGTCTAGTGGGCCCTGCCTGAAGATGTGCAGTGTGGGCGGTCCAACGGTCGGTCTGCACTAACAGCATAACTCTCTGGTCAATTCTTACGTTCAAAAATGCCCTTACACCCAGCAAACCCTTCTGAGTACCCGTATTGGTCTCATTTCTGGGATACATCATCAGGAGATGGGGTGCTGGAGTGGTTAGTTCTATCACCACCGTGCCCTCCCCACCATGGTGGACTGCCTCCCTACAGAGCCAAAATAAAACCTTCATCTCTGAAGTTGCTCCCTTCAGGAATTTTATCACTGCCACAAGAAGAGTAACTAATCTCAGCCTGGAGTCCCCCAGGAAGAGTCTCAGTGAGAGCTTGCTGTCCCGTGGAGAGTCTGTGGAAGATTGTCTTGACTGCTTTAGTTGATGTGGAAGACCCAGTGTATTAGGGTTTCTATTGTTGTGAGAAAAACACTATACCCAAAAGTGAATGGGGGGAAGAGAGGGTTTATTTCCTCTTATAACTCTCAGATCACACTCCATCAGGCAGGAACCCAGAGACAGGAACTGAAGCAGAAGCCATAGGTGTGTGCTGATTACTGGCTTGCTCCCCATGGCTTGTTCAGGCTGTTTTCTATAAAACCCTGGCCCACTTACCCAGGGGTGGCAACACTTATGGTGATCTGGACCCTCCATATTTATCCATGAATCAGGAAAATGTCCCTAGACTTGCCTATAGGCAATCTGATTGAGGCGTTTTCTCAACTGGAAAATATCAAACTAGAGGTTCTTCTAGTTTATATCAAATAACAAACAAACAAAACCAAAAACAAACAACCAGGGCACACAGGGTCCCTGAAAGTAGGGACCTCATGCCTGATTTGAGGTCCTGAACTATGTGAGAGCAGAGAAAGCCAGCTAAGCACAAAGCATGCACGCACCCACCTCTCTCTGCTCTTAGATGTGGATGTAATGTGGCTAGCTGCTTGGAGCTCATGCCTTGACTTGCCCTGAACAATACACTGCAATCTGGAATCGTGCACACTAAACTCCTCCCCTATACTGATTTTTGTCAGGGTATTTTATCACAGTCACAGAATGGAAGTCTCAGCCTCCGACCTTGCAGCTCCACACCCGCCGGGGGGAACTGAACCTCACCAGACAGCCTCCAGTTGGTGTTCCAGGGCACAGGAGGAGTCTTTACTTTCCACATCGAGCTGGAGTTAATTTTGTTGTTGCTGCTGTTGTTGATAGAAGCTGTAGTCATAATTTCTGAAAACAGAAACAAGGAACGTAGCTAATACATGGATCATCTCATATAGTTACTGCCCCACCCTCTGTCCTGTCACAAGAATGGTTTTAGTAATGTTTCTTAACAAATTCCTGACTACAATATAAAGTTAAGAACGGGGAGCTTTTATGTAAGGGAAAAGTACTCCAACTTCTTCAAAAATCCAGACTTCAGAAGGATTGGGACAAGTGAAGAAAATAAAACAAAAGAGGGAATTTCAGAAGCAGCTTCAGTCAGACGTGGAAGGCTGGGAAAGTGAAAGTCAGCGTAAGACACATGGCATAACTCTTGTCACATGCCATCCTTGTGTCTTTCCCACAGTGGACCTCGCACCTTTCCCACTCACTCAGATGCAGGCTCCTCAGTGCAGCCATTCCAAATCAATTAAAGCTATGTGTGTGTGTGTGGGGGAGGTGACCCACCCCTCTGTCTAGGCTTGAGAAGGATAAGAAAATGGGTCAGGCTGGAGCAAATTTGTTCTTTGGAGAATGGGCTACAGGACCTATTTCCATCATTTTCACTTAGAGAGTATTAAGTCTAATGGAAAAAGTCCTTGCCCAAGGTCCATGGAGGCCAATGGCAGTGGTGTTGGACTCAAGCCTCCTGTCCCTGAGCAGTAGGTTTACAGTTCACAAAGGCTCTGTGTGATGTGGGACTGGCCACACAGAGCTACATCTTCACGGATGTCTTTTGGGCGCTCAAGTTCACTCTGCACCCTAAGACTCTCTCATTCTTGCCTAAATTCCCTTGCTTCGTGGATTGGAAGCCTGTGGGGGTGGAGAGCAGGGATACTAGAGTGGGAGGTACACCTAAGTTCATAGGGACTTTGGAGCAGACATAACTGACTTCTTTCCACTTTCTTCAGGATCTAAACCAAGGAAATAAACCCAATGACAGATCCTTTCTCCCCTAGCATCCAGGTACAGGAAGCCATCATAAGTTTTTGAAGATGACAGTGTTATAATATAAAAAGTGATATTTATAAAATGTAATTATGAAAAATTGGTATAACCTGAGCCCTGTCATTAGAAAATATCTCCTAGTAGAACATCTTTGAATAAGCACGGAGCTGTGTGGAATGGGCACCCTCTTAGCCTGAGAGTCAAGGGATAGACTACCTACAAATGACAAGGGCACTTGGAGGGGATTTTCTCCATGGCTGAATTGAGATGAAGAAAAGGAGGTTTTACCAAAGATCCAAAGGTCAAAGGCTAGGAGGGCCCTGGGGAGGGGGGCAGGAACACAGACAGGGAACTAGACACAGCTGCAAGTACCCCTTCTCAGGCTTCTCAGGTCCCTGCTGGGGTGGACTTATTGCTTCTTCTGGTCTCTGTTTTCCTAAGAGAGGTTAATAAAGTGCATTTTTTTTTCTAGAATGGTAAAATGAGGTAGAGAACGCGGGAAGCTGGAACCTTTTGAAGACAGGCTCTGGGGCTCACAGGAGGGAGAAGTGGGGGGCAAACTCTGTACAGGCGAGCAGATGGCAGCAAGAGGGTTCCGAGGGACAGTGAGATGGCTCAGTGGGTAAAGACACATGCTGCCAACCAAGCCCGACAACATGAGTTCAATCTCCAGAACCCATATGGTGGAAGGATACAATGAACTCCTACAAGCGGGCCTCTGATCTGCACACTGAATTAATACAATATTTTTAAAAGAGAGTACAAAGAATAATTCAGTTTCCAAGAGCCATCTGAGGGTAAGGGATCATCCCTTAGCTGACAAGGGACAGAATTGAGTGTAGACATGCCGAACACTCCCACTGAATCCCTATGCTACCAAAATGGGATCCTCACCCACCCCTTCCTCAGTTCACAGTTCTACGTTCTGCAGACTAGACAGAGAAGCTGTGGCCTAGCCCACATGGAATGGAATTTCCCCAGAGGGGCTATGGACCATCCCCCCAAGTCAGAAACCAGTCTTGTAGAACATGGTGGGGGTGGGGCAGAAAAAGAGGACCTGATCACAGAGGGTCCGCAGAGTGAGAAAAGAGGGGGTGAACCCAAGAAATGAGCTACTGTTCCTCTTTGGGCTACTGCTGACATCCTTTTTTCCAACCCCAGTAGTCACTTCTCAGAGCTCCCCCTTTCTGCGGCAGCTGACGGTTGCTCAACCTTTGCCCCCTGGTTTCCGGCCTTGATACCTACATGGTTCTCCTTCCACCTCCACGACACTAGTTCCTCTTCAGGTCTTGTTTATTCACGTCTCTTCCTACAGCAGACGGTGTGCCTGTGCCTAACTCGTTCTCTCTCTCTCTCTCTCTCTCTCTCTCTCTCTCTCTCTCTCTCTCTTTTCCCCAGCTTTTTGAGACAGAGTTTCTTTGTGTAGCCTTGGCTGTCCTGGAGCCAGGTCTGTAGACCAGGCTTTGCGCAAACTCACAGAGAACTGCCTGGCTGTCTAACATGCTCTCACAGGCTCCTTCTCCTTGGGCATCCCCATGTTCTTCAAAAGCACTCTCAGTCCTCACAGACGTGGGATCACTTGCTTATGGTAGTTCCAAACTTGACTCTTTCAGCCCTGATCAATCCTTAATTCTAGGACACTCCCACCCCTTAAGATAGCCTGCCAAGTGGGTCTCCTAGACATCTTACTTAATCCCCAAATGTAACAAACACCTTGCTAAGCAGTCTTCATGGAGGGAGGGAGAGCCATGCTGGGAGGCCACACTACAGTAGCTGGGTCTGCAGACCAAGCTGCTTTGGTGCTGGTTTCTTGCTGGTGTCTCACATCCACTCTTCAGCATCAGGCCGCCAGAGGCTATCAGGCCCTCTCTCTGACTGTTCTACCTCTCTCCTGTGGTTATGCATGATTCAAAGAGCATCAGAAAGGGACTAAGCTATTGATATTAGACCTGGAAGACTGAGACATTCTATCTGAAGACACAGAGGTGTGAAATCAAGCCGTCATTTTCTTTCTTTTCTTTTTCTATTGTCTTTTCTAGGCAAGAATGTAAATGAACTGGACACTGCTACTGGCAGAATAAAAAACTGGGGGAATGTACACAAAGCTATCACTCTGCGTCTAGGAAAATTTTCTCGTGTTGACAACAGTATGCATTCTCAGGCAGAATTCTCAGAGGCTGACAGAGTAGTCACTATGTGTGTGCCCACTGGGGATTTGGTGAACATGTTTATGTCAGTACAGGGCCTCTTCCCCTGAGATTCCTCAGAAAGAAAGATGATATAGGAAAAGCAAAGGGATGAGGCTGGGGACTCTCCCTGTGTCCCCGCCCAAGGTTCAAACTTCAGGGAAACAACAGGCCAGGACTTGGCCTGCTTTCTGTCATGGCATTTGTCAATATTCAGCTGCATGGTGACTTCCACAGCAAGGATCTTGGGGATACTGTCCTTGTGGACACTTTATCTCAGCCCGGTGACTTACTGGGCTTCCCCGTTAGGGATTCCACTGACAGGTGGAGCCACTAGTGCAAGTAATGGTCTGTGTTCACACAGTCATTCATGTACTCTGCATCCAGCTAACATGGCCCCCATCACTCTTGTCTGTGCCTCTTCATCTTTGCAAAGTACTGACAGAGCCCGTTGGTAATTCCATAGTGCTCAGGTCCCATTCTCCCTCAATCTATTCCTCTTCAGACTATTTGATCTTCATGTATGAATGCCTGGGTCCTACTGCTATCATGAGAAGGCCGCCCAGATCTTTTGAAATATGAAGACTGTGGTGAGAATTCTTTCAAGACACATGATGATCCAAGAATTCCCAGTCTTGTAATCAGAGCACTGGGGAAGAAGTTCCTGAAAGAATTACCATGGGAAAACAAAATGGGCTCTCATGGCCTTTCTGTAGGTGTTCTGTGGCTTCACAGCCAAGCTTCTGCAGTATCATAATGTTGCCTGGAACATGCAATCACTGAATGAAAATACCAAAACGTGCTAGACCTTCATCTTGACATTTCTGCTACTATCTCTGACAGAGAAAGTCCAAGTGGGCACTCATGGGTACACAAATGCCAGTCTAAGACAGTGGGCAAACAGTGGTCTGTTTTTTAAACCCCATTTCTTGGGGTTACTTTGTGCTGGAACTCACAAGAAGACCAGAGGAGCCCTCTGAGGATGGATGGGGAGAAGGATCAGGCTCTCATTCATTCCTGCAATATGAATTTCGGTACTTGTCTTGGTTGGGAACTATTTTAGGGGTTCAGGATGCAAAGGAGAAGGCAGACAAGGTCCTGTTTCAAGAGCACTAGGCATTGACCAGGTCATTGGAGAATGATACGCTCTCTAAGAAGAAAATACAAGATTGAAGAGTAACAAAGGACTAAGGCCTAAAGGCCTGTCCTGAGCTAAGAACCAAAAAGAATTAAAGGTTGTTCCAGGCAAAGAAACTGTATATGGGAAGACCCAAGGCAAGAACAAACTGGCAACTCTTATGGACCTGCAAGAAACTTGGAATGGCTGTAGAGAGAGGAATGGCAGCTCATAAACAGGAGAGAGGGAGAGAAAAGGTTGGGCTACACAGGGCAATCAGGGACCCCATAAGAGTTTGGGATTTGGGAATCCAAACCAATGAGAGTCATGAGAAAATACAAATTTAAAAAACAAACATTTAGCCATTATGTGATAATCACACATCCTTCATCAGAAGGAACACTGGCAGGCAGAAGCTCTGGGTGACCTTGGTGGGATAGCTCCAAGGCTGGACCTTCTGAGGCTTCTGTGGCCATCACCTGGAGGATTTGCACTACAGCTCTTTGCATTGCACATTAGTCCTATGTAGGAGGGTGCAGGAGCAAAGGAATCAAGCCGTTCACTCGTATAACCCAGAGGGTGGTGGAAAATGGTTTGTAGGAAGTTCACCTATGGTTCTAATTGTGTGGAGATACCTGTAAGGCCTCACACAAAGATTTCAAGTCACAGAGGGTTGCCAGATCAAACAAGGATGCTCAGATAAATTTGAATTTTAGATAAACAACCAGCGGTGTTTAGTATAAATCATTCTTTAAAATGGGGGTACACCCATGTTC